ACACAAAGAAATTAATATACATAACAATGACTATAACATTCAATAATGTTATATTGATGAAATGATACATTAGTAATGATAACATATAATAATGGTAACAAAACCTTACTTTACAAAGTACTTTACAAAGTAAGGCATACATAGTAATTATAGTACAATCAAATATGACTTTACAATGATGTGAAACATTCAGTCTTCTTTATATTCATACACTATTTACTGACAACTACTATATCATACCACTGTATTAAATATTATAACATACTTATATCAAGTTTAAGTTCAGGAAACAATAAGACCTCTGTAAAAGGATATATATATATATATATGCATATGCACAAGGAGAGGGCACAATTGAATAAGGACTTCAGAAATGCAAAGTAACGAAGATATCAGTGGAAGTGGAAGTAGTTGAGTCAGAGTCCAGTAGGCAGTATAGTCTAATATAGACAGAAGCTTATGGGGCACAGAAAGATGAGTAAATGATGAAACATATGCAAGAACACCTAAGAGATGATTTTAAAAAAAAAATAAATCTTGAGAAATCAGATTGTGATAAGCCTTTATAACTAGACCAAAAAGAAACCACTTACATACTAGTGGTCTAGTATTCCCTCTGAATGTGGGAGAGAATAAGGAAGTATAACAGAGAGGTTAAGAACAGGCATTTTGGTCTCTGGTTCTGTTTTGAGTAGTTCTGTGACCTCGGGCAAATTATTTAAACATACTTTTCCTTTCTATAAAATCAGGAAGTAATATCTGTCTCATTAGAGTTTAATGAGGATTAGAGTTTAATGAGGATTAAGTAAAATAATAATTCATAGTATGCTTTGCTGTCCCTCATGCTCTAAGAGTTTCATAAACAGTAGGTAGCTATTAACATTTCTTTTAAGGCCCCAAACAGCAATAAAGATATATATATATATTTTTTTTAAAGAGGAAGCATTCCTTAGACATTTAATGTAAATGCAAAAGATCATCCTTTTGTATAAAGTGAAATATTAGTAAAGGTCTTTGAAAATTACTTTTATACCCTGAGAGGTACTAGTATATACATGAGATTAGAGCTGTGAAAGTTGTCAGAATTGAAAGGGGGTCAACTGTGTCAAACCCTGACAGAAAAATAAGTACATAAATAAAGCTGGGAGGTTCAGAAGGGGATCTCTGCACACATTACTGACAAGAACTAACACAAGAGCCTCTGCCAGAACCACAACCTTGCACAAAGACCACTGTAACCTTACACAAAAAATTATATCATCAGGCCATCTGCCCAACTAAAGTCTGGTCAACCTTGGACTGACTCCACCCTTGTTACTGATCCTCATAGGTAAGGATTGCTTCAAAACAACTTTGGTAATCCTCTTCCTTTTGCCTCTGGAAACTTCCCCTTGTCTCAAACTCTTAAATAAACTCATAGTTGACTATGGCCTATGGCAATTGTATTCTCATTGCAATGCTCTGCTATTTTCTAATAAACTCTATCTTTGGAGAATCCATCCCTATTGCTATTTAGAGCCTATAATTAACAGTTTTCTTTTTTTTTTTTTTAAGTCTTTTACACCTGTTGCTAAAGAGCAAATGTTTTAAATATTATCAAAGTTATTGTCACATATTAATAAATGCTTATTGTGTCTTCCTAATCCTAAGCAGGTCTAATTCTAATTTATCAAAAATTCTCTCTGCTTTGTGTGGTTTTAAAAAAATTTCTATGTGCATAGATAAAAAGACATTGAGATTAATGGATTCTTTAAGGTCCATAACAGTGCCTCTGGCACTCAGAATTCTTTAATGCAGTACTCCTTGATCAAACTTCAAAGAAAGGGTATGTGTTTCAATAAAACAAATGAAATAAAACCGAATGCCAACTGTATGAAATACTCAGAACTGTTATCCTGAATTTCCCTTGTTTTTCTTAAGAATTGTAAAATTTGACTTTTGAAAATTTCCACTAAATCAATTACTAAAAAGACATGCTTCCCAGGCGTGATAGTGCACACTTGTAATCCGGTGCCTCCAAAAGGCTGAGGCAGAAGGATCACAAATAAAAAGGCGAATGTGACTCAGTTGTAGCTGTGGATTCAATCCCCAGGAGCAAAAACAAAACAAAAAATAACAACAACAAAAAACTTAATTTTTATTTACATTTTTACTTTGTTTTCTAAATCATTATTTTTTGCTCTTTGATTTCCTAAACTAGAAATACTAAATTCTAAAAAAAAAAAAATTTAAATATTAGTATTTTAATCAAACACACATCAGGAGAAATAAAAAGGAGGACCTTTTTATCTGCATCTGTGAAAAATAACCAACACATTTTAGATTCAACAATGTTTGATATAAGCCTCAAACCTTCAAGAAATGTCTGAGGGTGAAAGAGAAATGAACTGGTGGTTGGAGATGACAACAAAGAAAAAAATAATTGATGATTTGATGATACAAGTTATAAAGCTAGGAATTGTCAGAGAAAAGAGAAATGATCTGGTTATAAAGATGAAGAACTACAGGATACCTACTACACACACCTCTAAGCCCAGTGGCAAAGGTTGTGGGAGACAAACAGCAATTATTTAAAATGGCTGCTGGGGAAACAATGACCCTAGGGAACATTCAGGTATATTAGAGAAAAAAGGTAAGGGCAACACTCAAGAAGAGAAAACATTAGAAAAGATTTTATCAATGATAGTTAAATACTAATATTATGGTGGGGAAGTTTTCAGAATTGAGGACAGAAGGGATGTAAAGAGTCATCTAGGGATAAGAATGTGAATGCTAAGAAATGACCTGACAATCTTCTGCTTCTTTTGAATAACTGCTACAAGAATTAAGCATGTCACCAAAGAATGCATAAGATAACAACAGAAGAAGGCATAACACATTGTGATCTGGAGACTATACAGCTTCAAACTCAGTGACTGAGGCCTATTTTTGTATATACTGCCCAAAGAAATTAAGAAAAAAAGAGCACTGGATTAGTGCCTATATCTGGCTAGGATGCAGAGGCAGGAAGAAAAATTAGTGAGATTTAAAAAATGGAATAGAAATTAGCAAAGAATAATCTATTTGTCAAATTAACTAGCACTCTGGCTCTAATGATTTTTAAAAATAGGTGCCACTAAATGTATAATCTAATTATTTTTTCCTCAGAGAGCAGACCAAACATTGCCAAATATAGGAGGATGCTATATTATATTAAATAGAAAAAAAAGCACTCCAAATATAAAATAATAAAAACAGGTCAAACTAAAATAAATTGTATTAAACACAAAAATAAACCCAAACCTCTTATCCAGTGCTCTGGCTTTGAAGACAGAAAAAAATTAAATTGGACCACTTAAACTATATACCCATATTGATTCAATAGAAAAAATTAAATTAAAAAATCAAACATTAAAAAGATTATCAGAATCAACAGTACAAAAGTTATGAACAGTCTAAAATGCAAGCTTTTCAAAATTTATTAAATAATAATATGGGATGAATAATGTGTTTTATGGTTTTATACTAGATGTATATAATCCTTAACTAGATATCTACTAAATTTTTTAAACCAGAAAAATGATGTCATAACTGCATTTAAAGTTTATTTTGTGGCCTGGGGATGTGGCTCAAGTGGTAGTGTGCTCGCCTAGAGTGCGTGAGGCACTGGGTTCGATTCTCAGCACCACATAAATGTGAAATAAAGATACTGTATCCACCTAAAAACTAAAGAAATAAATATTTTTTTAAAAAAAGTTTATTTTGTATAATGAGAAAAACCTTTAAAGAAAAATAAAAAGAAAATCAAAACTGTTTTTCAAAAAAGCCAAAAGAAGATAAATTAAACAAAGAAAATCAGACAATCCCCTTCTCTTTGGATATTTGTAAGAAATAGGTACATTTCTAACAGAAAATTAAAAACTATTAGTAGATTTTGTCATACATACTTGTGTATGTTCATATGGGATATCCACAGAAGGATGGTAGCATACTATTGTCCTGCCATCAGATGTCAAAGCAAGCTCTACTTTGCTAAAAAAGAACATTTTAGAAAATAGAGTTATAATGTTATTTAGGACAGAATCATTATTTTTACAGCAAAAACTAATTAATCACAAATTGCTAAAGAGAAGACGCTATATCACTGGATTAGCAAACCTGGTAACCTTAACATAGGCGACAACTCAAGACTATCTCACAGAATATGTCATCTTACTACCACAACAAAATGGCTAGGACCTAAACTGTGAGTATATTTTATCTAGCAGAGAATAACACACCATATTATTTCATCATGACTTTAAGATTACATACTATGACAGCAATGCAATGAACATTTCAACTACCAATGATTTTTGATGAAGTATGGAATCTTATATAATGCAAAAACTTTATATGACTCAACCTAAATTTTTAGGTTCAAAAAATGTTACCTAGTCTAATTTACAACTACTTAACATAGTGCAATTAAAATGCATCAAAAGAGAAGCAGATATGCTTTTACTAAAATTTGCAATTAAAAAAAATCACATGGTTTAAGAAAATATGTTGCAGACTTCTGTGGAGAACAAAGACAATGTCATGTTACTCTTAATTCTTAGCATGGTGACTGGAATTAAATAATAGGTATTGAATTAAAAATTTGTAATTTGGGATTATTCAATGTCAAACAAAAGACAAATAATGACTTACGCCAATAGATATGAACCCAAAGAGAAAACTATAAAAACTAATTAACTTCTGCAAAAAGCTAAAGCAGGCTTCAGGAAGATAGCATTTCTAACAACATGTCTGTCTTATAACAAATTAAATATTCACTGAAACACAATGATAATGATTTCATTTAAAACATTTATAATCTCAGATACTGAGTAAATAAGAGAATGGAAATAACTTTTTAAAACAAAATTAAAGAAAGAATAATCAAAAAAGCAAGCAGAAAATCAAATGAAATCATTTCAGATACAGCTAAGACTGTTATTTTTTAATTGAATTTTAATACATACCAATTATAGTCATCTGGAAGAGAAGAAAATGTGGATTTATGACAAACACCAGATAAAGCACTGTCTGCAAAAACCCAAACAGTAAAACAGATTTAGTTAATTGGGGCATATGTTCTCACATAAATTTAAAGCTAGAGTTACTCCTTTAACCAATTTACTATTTACTGTGAAAAAGGTTTGTAGAAAGAGCCAGGACTTAGTCCCTCTCCTTAAAAGGGTACAGTCTGCTGGTAAGAAAGACAAGAAACAATTGCAACATAAAGGTTAAGTGTTGTTAGCATGGGTAAGCAGTGGGAGAGAAATGGCACAGGAACAGGAGAGCAAATGCAAATGTGCAGGTTCAAGAAAGCCTTCCCAGTAGAAATGATGTCTAAGGTGTTCTGAAGGATAAAGGAATGAGGAGTTGATAAGGGGTAAGTAGTGCTCCTTCTAGAGCAAGTAACAAGAACAAAGATCAAAGATGATAAAGGAAAATAAAGTATTTGGGAATTCTAATCTTTCCAATAAAGAATGTGAAGTATTTAGACATCCCAAGGTGCATAGTTTATAAAAGGGGAGCAGTATGTTTTGATTAAGAAAATTAATTTTGTACAACTTTAAGCATATTTTCCTTTTTTACAATACTTAGAAATTCAAGAGCTTCAATTACTTTAAAAATTTGCAGAAAGTCCTTTTATGTTCAAAGAAAGGATATCTTTAAACACACATACACACACACAAAATTAGAGGTAGCTCAATATAGGGTTTTTTTTTTTTTTTGGTACAAGGGATTAAGCTTAATTAGAGTCTCATCATCAATCTGTTTTAACTTTTATTTTGAGAGAGGGCCTTACTATGTTGCTGAGACTGGCTTTGAATTTGCAACCCTCCTGCCTCAGCCTCCTGAGCTGCTGGGATTACAGGTGTGCACCACTGTGCCTGGCAAGCTCAGTATAATTAAAAGCAAATTTTGAATGTGTCTTGGCTTTAGCCAAGAATCAATCTCTCAACAGAGCATCTTGCTCCAGTTACATGGGACTATGACTTACCTCCATTCCTCTCCATGTCCCCAGTATACAACACCATTCACACTTTGCTCAATAATCACTCAACTTCAAAGTTGTATATTCATCCATGAAATCCTTTTTACTCTCCCAACCTGCTAACCTCTATCAAAGGGGAGTCTCTTTTACATGACCCTAAATTGATGCTTCATATGACATTGCTATACCTTTTTTTTAACCCCTTTTCCACCCATATTAATTATTATAAGGACTAAATGGATTAATATGTTTTTTAAAACTATAAAATTCTACATTTCCATGTTGGCTATATATTTTGGAAAGTCTTAAATGCTCTTCTGGAATATGCGGAGGCCCTTTTATTTTTTTTAGTCATTATACTTTCTCTCCCAAATCATGGGTTTTGCTTTGCCTCCAATCTTAATGTCCTTCCTTTCCATATAAAACAACAGGATCAGTAATAATACTTTACCTTTGATAATAATATTAATGATAATAGCTGCATAAATGATAATAGATTCATAAAAGAAGGTAGACAGTCCCTGAGTATTGAGATGACTGAATGATAATAGAACGATCTTCTTGAGGAACCTAAATTAACTCTTTAAAATTATCTGACAATAATTCCAATCCATTCATATAAATTAAACAATCACTTATTTATCCTCTATTATAATATATGAGGAACTAGGGACATCAAAAAAGACACAATACATATGCAGGGGGAAATGTAGTAAAAAGACACATAATAATTTTTAGTTATCCAAGGATGGAGTAACCGTTTCTCAGGTAACCTGCATAAAGACTAATTGCTGTTTTAAGGCACGGGCTGTATAAAAGCTGATCAGGTCTAACTCCTCATCCACTTTAGGTCCAGGTTCCTGTAAAGGTAAAGGGGAGGCTAAACAGCAGGAGCCCTTCTCCCAATTCTCAACAATGAAAATGCTCCTAGAAATTCAAAAGATGACTGCAATTTTTGTTCTGACTCTTGTTTTAGTTTACAGCTAGTCTTCAGCAATCTCCTTCTGTATTTAATTAATTATAAGTTAATTATATTTTCAATGATATGATAATTATAATGCTCTGAGCCTTTATAAAGAGGGGAAGTGGAAGAACGGTGTGCAGGGACAAAGGTTTCCTGGTTTCCTATAAAAGGATTTAGTGGACGTGGTAACACATGTCTGTAATCCCGGTAACTCCAGAGGTTGAGGCAGGAGGATTGCAAGTTTGAACCCAGCCTCAAGAACCTTTAGCTAAACTCTCAGCAACTAAGTAAAACGCTGTCTCCAAAAAAAAATAGTCAGGACATATAGCTCAGTGGAAAAGTGCCCCAAGTGCAATCACCAGTACCAAAAATATAAAAATAAAAAATAAAAGTAGAATTTAGTAAACTTGTGAACATTATTTAAAAAAAAAAAAGTTTAGTGGGCAAACGATTTTTTCCTTGCCTCAAAAACCCCCAAATTACCTATTCATTGTTTTTTTGCCCTAGTCTTCAAATAGCTCTCTTCCTCTAACTCAATAAATAAACTTTCAATTACAAAGAGTAGTAAATAGGAAATATGAAGGAGAGATTAAAGTCAAGCAGAGATGTAAAGAAAAGTTGGCTAACATAGCTAAACATTAAAAAGCATACCTATTGTAGCTTTTTAACCATATGTACTTTAGAAATAGGTAAACAGAATTAATACAGGAAAAGGAAGCTGGGCATGGTGGTGCATGCCTGTAATCCCAGAGGCTCAGGAGACTAAGGCAAGAAGACTGCAAGTTTGAGGCCAGCACCTTAGTGAGACTCTGTCTCAAAAGGAAGGGATGGAGGGAAGTAGGTAAATTGTACTGTGGGACAGAGAAAAATGAAAGCAAAAGTTGGGCATGGTGGCACACATCTGTAATCCTAGCTAATTGGGAGGCTGAAGAATGAGGATCATAAATTCAGAGCCAGCCTTAACAATTTAATGACACTCTTTTCAAAATAGAAAACAACAAGAGCTGGGGATATACTTCAGTGTTGAAGCACCTCTAAATTCAATTTCCAGGGAAAAAAAACCAAAAAAACAGGAAAGCAAAAAACAGTTGTGGTTGGTTGAGAAATAAGATTATTGTATTTACTTATATGGGTCCATGCTCTGACTATCAAATACATATCAATAGGCTTTCAAGATAATTAAAATTAAACAATTCTTTAGAAAACAAAAGTAGAAATTACATTTTGTTTTTTGAAATGGCTACGTTTATAGGAAGAAGTCAAGGAGAATACATAAAAATATTAACAATGATTATCGTTGTTAAGATTAGACTGTGAACTGAGTGCGGTGGTACATGCCTATAATCCCAGTGGTTTAGGAGGCTGAGGCAGGAGGATTGTGAGTTCAAAGCCAGCCTCAGAAACAGTGAGGCACTAAGCAACTCAATGAAACCCGGTCTCTAAATAAAATACAAAAAAGGGCTGGGCATGAAGCTCAGTGGTTGAGTGCCCCTGAGTTCAATTCTGGGCAGCACCCCCCCACACCCACCCCCCAAAAAAAGATTAGACTTATTTTGCAATTTTAAAAAAGTAACAGGTGTAAATATACAAAGTATAAATGATCCAAATGAGAGAAAGTTACCCTTTATTAGTCCATCACCTAAAACCACTTGTGGTCTATACAAATAACCATATTGGACTCTGCATTTATGCATATGCACACATTCCTGTGCACACAATTGTTGTCTTTTTAAAACACAGAGGGATGAGGTTGTGGCTCAGTGGTAACACTTGCCTGGCATGTGTGAGGCACTGGCTTCGATTCTCAGCACCACATATAAATAATTTTAAAAGTCTATCAATAACTAAAAAAAAATTTTTTAAAAACCCACAGAATCACATGATAGACACTGTTCTGACATCTTTTCCTCTCTCTTCTATTTGGAGAACTTTTCATGTTGGAAACAGTGGCATGAAATTTATAGTTAAGATGTAGCAATAGTTATCCACCCCCTTTTGATTGACATTTAGGTTTTCATCACTTTTTCGTTATTGCAAACATTCCTGCAAATAGGCATACATAAGTGTTAAATATTCTATATTTGAAAAAGTTTAAAACTCTTTTTAAACATTAAAAATTTAATAACTCACTTTGAACTGGAAATAAATGCTTCCAGAGAATTCTCTTTGACATCACCCATTTGAATGCTATCGATGCCATGGTGTTTTAAGATGATCAGACGATATGATGAAAGATGTTCTAAAGAACAACCACCTTTCAAATCTACTTCTAGGCACATCAATTTTTATTCCTGCTTAAGAGATAAAGAAAAATCAATGCTACCTATCATAAACTACAAGAACAAGACAGGAAGCATTCCCTAACAGGGCAGTCATTTGAAGTAGGGATTTCCAATAACTTTGCATTTCCCCATAATTTAATAGGACGTACAACAATATCTAAATCTAAAATGAGAAATCCCACTTATATATAATAACCCCATTATTATTTTTCTTAAATGCAAACATCTCAGCACTCTGTGCAGCTTTTTCCACTTACTGAATACTCAGAAAATGTGTAATTGCTTTTAGAATCTGTCACTTACAATGGTACACTGAGCATCCCATCTATAATTAGTAGCGTGCCTGTACCACCTCCTAGTACCACACACAAGACCTTATTACATCACGCAGAGTAATATTCTGTTTCTGATTCAACTAAAGATTAAGCAAGAAGACCTATCCTTGGCCTATCACATACTTAGAGAAACACAAATGTTATCATCATAAGGTTCCAAGGTGTTTTCACCACCATTTCATTTTACTCTTTCTTGTATTAACCATGTGTGGTTTCCTTATTTTGAGCCTTGAAGAAACACAAAATTTGAAGGACTTACTTCCAAGAATTTTAGAGTTGATCAGTTACAAACTGGGAAACTTTGGGCAAATCATTAACTAAATGACCCTCCATTTTTTTTCCACTGGTAAAGTGGAGGAAACAAGCACAATGTTCATGAGCTGCTATGAATAAATAACAAAACTATTATACCCTTTTGTTTAATTGAACTCGGTGACTATTCGTGCCCTTCTCCCAGTGGAGAATGATGAAAGGGAATGAAGACACAGATTTTCTTTGCAGGACTAAAGTATACAGGCGGATTCCTGGCCCTGTTAGTACTTAAGTACGGCTAACCCTGAGTTCATAAGAGTATTATTCACAGTTTACAACCTACTTTCGTATGCAATTATGTGTTCTGACTTTCATAAATCTGTAAAGTAGGCATCTTCGTTCTACATATTAAGAACAAAGTTTAGGGACCTCAAACGATTAATTCGCTCCCCTATTCTCACCGTTCAGTAGACAGCATGGGTGGAACGCAAACCCACGTCTTGTGACAACAAGACCAAGAACATAGGACTTTAGGAGCCTTTAGGTTCCGTCTACCCGAGGCCAGCATACCCAGTGGAAGGTCAAACTATTCAGCCCAAGGAGCAAATTTCAGAGAGCAAGTCCCTTGGCATAGAATTCCACCCAAAGCAAAAGCTACTGAGAGCTTCAGTGGGGCTGGGGTTCGTGGAACAGACTCCCAACAGCATAGAGATTAACACTCAGGGAGCGATTCGAAGGACTTCGACATGGAGGAGTCCGCGGACCCGCAAGGTCGCTCAGCTCCCGCCGAGTGTCGGTCAGAGCACTAGAGGGGCGCTACAGGAAGCACGCGACCAGGTGCCGTCCCTTTTACGGGATGGACATCTGGAGATGCCGGCAGCTTCGTCCTGCAGGTTACGACAAGTGGAAGGCCTCAACACCCGCCGATAAGCCTTCTGGGCCTGCCCAAATTCGAGGGACTCCTCCACGAGAGAAAGAGAGGGCAGGAATTACCTCGCAGGTTACTCACCAGGAGATCGCCATGTTGCCTCAATCCGGGTATTGTGCGACCCCGCCCCCGCGCCCTCCCGGCCCGCGGAGCACTCTGGGAGCGGTAGTCTCCTCGGGAAAGTGGCCCGAGCGCAGAGGGCAGGCTGGGAACCTGCCGCAGTCTCCCGCCTTTGGCTGCAGCCGCTTGGGCTCGTCATTGCCAAAGGTGCTCAGAAGAACTAAATCATTGCCCCAGAACGCATCCGTAGACAGTAACGAGTACAGAGAACCGCTAGATTATTCCTTGATAGAAGTAAACTTTTATCTTGTGTAAGCCACTATTTTTCTGATGGTCTTTTACTAACAGTCCAATAGTAACTGAAATAACAGAATCAACATATTTCAAATCACAAATGTTTCAAGAAAAATACATAAAAAGAATTAGTACTGGGCTGGGGTTGTAGCTCAGTGGTGCAGCACTTGCCTTGCATGAAGGAGGCCCTTGGGTTTGATCCTCAGCACCACATATAATTAAAATAAAAATCCATCAACAACAATTATATATTATATA